CGAAATAAACATCGGCTGGTCTACGCACCTCATCCTAACTTTCCTTGAAGGTAGCCACCCGTGTCGAAATAAACATCGGCTGGTCTACGCACCTCATCCAAAAAATTCCAATTGCATGCAACCTCCGGCCACCCAAACTGCCTGGCCCTCGGCTCGTAACACATGTATTATATTATGTTACAATGTGTGTTCTCCGACACCCGGTAACACTTAATCAAAAAAGTTTCGAATAAAAATTACACAGCGCACAATTCCTAAAAAATTACAGTACTAAATGTTGATAAAAGATTTTTTTATTCAACACGAAATCAAAATCGTTGCAACTTTTTTAACATAACTGTATATTATTTATGTAGAAATCGATTCATGTCTGTATTCCCTTTAAAAAATTATTAATGTACCTAGCTCGAAAATTAATTAGTTTAGGTGTTATAATTTTTGTCCCGAACGCCCATAAGATCGTATCACTGTGCGGCTCCGCTGTGGCGAATCACAAAAGGAGCAAACGGTGATTGGTACAGTGTGGCAATATGGCGGCGGCGGCGGCAAATCAGAAAATTACACCACGAATGGTGCACAATGGTGTGTGTGACATGTTGGGAGGGGGGGGGGCAGTGGGTGGATGTTACAGTAGTACCGACACGGGCTGGCTGTCTAGGGTTCGGCAGTCAGTTCTATAAACAAACAGAAGCAAATACGTAAATAGCCACCCGCTGGCCTAGCACGCTGTACTATTGCTGTCGTGTGGCACATTGGGGGTGGCAACACGGCAGGAAAGCCGTTGTAGCGGTTGGCGTTCGGTGCTGAGCACCCGCCACCGCGGTCGCCTAGCAGATCGACCATTTCACTACTTTCATATTGTTATCGCCGGCAGTATTGCCTTAAAGCAAACAAACAACTCCTTGCAGCCGACCGAGAGTCAAGACCGGGCCTTCTGTAACCCGGTCCAATGAGTTAACAGCGAGGGCGCGATGGATCTAAGTCCCGGTTCCTTCGCAGCTGTTCACCGCTGATTTAACATCGGCGGTCATAAGCGATATCACGCTTCGTACCGCCAAGAGCAGGCTTCGGCCCTATCCGCTCGTTTTAATAAGTAACATTAGATGTTACAGTAGTACTTCAACATATCGAGCGATGCCAGCTGCAAAGTGCTCAGAAATTTGAGGATAGGTAGAGAAACCGCTTTTCTCTGATTGGTTGACGCTTCACAGCTAAGCAATGCTGCCATCGCGGTTTTAGATAAAGAGAGGAAATGGAGAGTGAGCAAGAGAGTACGACATCAGCACAACGCAAGTAAAATAAGTCACACCGACTGTCAATGTAACTTGACTCCCTTTACCATTGCAACACAATTATTGAAATTTTCGAAAACCCGTAAGTTACATCCGTAACTAATGGTTTCTAGTTTATGAATTTACAGAATTTTTTAAATTCAGCCATCCCGGCCAGCAATCAATATTACGCTCTAAGGAAAAGAACTCCGTAAGCAACAGATAATTTCGCAATTATCGAAACTTTGAACGAAACTAGAAATACAATAAAATGTTTGCGAGTCTGGGTAACAAAAAAAAAATGATATTTTGTCATTGCATCGACATTCTCACTTCTGGAATGAATAAGGATCTGCTTGCATGAATTTGAGACCCTGAAAAGAGCCGTTATCATTATGTCAGAGACTCGTTTGCCGCCTTCTTATTTAGAAGAAGGCGTTGTCCGAGTTTTACCGATGCTTAAAGTATACTCTGGAAAGTAAAGTTTTGAGAGGGAGAACTTTTGAAACCCATGCTGGTATCTGTAACATACAAAAGATAATTATTCGATGGCAATTCCTTAATTTATTACTTACTATTTCCATTCTTGGTTTCCTTTAATAGTGAGTGTAAAGATTCCCTCGAGAAAACAATAGTAGTATGAGAGATCTGCAGTACCAAAGGAGTGGTTACAACTGTAAAGCGGTCACTTGCCATGTTGCTTTATTATGACACAGATACAGACCAGGCAAAATAAAATTCTAATACTTTCTCGCATATCATGTTCTTCTGCACTTTCTTTCTTGCTATCAGTAGAGATGGTGATGAGTCCTGAAGAAAGTTAGAGGAATAATTTCAGGAGGCTTAATGCATCCTGTATCTTTATTGGATTTTCTTTTATCAGGTATTCGGGTCTCTCTTCGGGTCTCCTTGACCCGAGGGTCTCTTGAAAACCAACCTTTTCCCCACGCCGTCACTGCGCGGATGTTATAACGCAGCTTAAACCTCCACAACCATCCGCGACTTGTCTGAAATTCGGAATCACGGTTATGGATTAAAATGTCTTCATATCTGCAAGAGAAATTATCGAATATCTATTATATGTACAGTTCTACATACGTGAAACGGTACGCCTGATCTGGTCCCTATCTTTTTGGCCTGCAGGATTTTGTCAAAAATGGGAACTCCTAAAAGTCTCGTCTGCAAAAACCAATCATAAATTTTGTTATTTACACCATTATTCACAATATATTATTTGTTTTTATGCACGTCTACACAGGTGTCCAAGCTATTCATGCCAATGCGCCTTATTCGGTTCGCCGTACTTTTAGCGATCCCGTACGTATTAGCAAGCGCTTCCACGTTTATGCCGCATTCCAACTGGAAAATAATTATTTATTAATATAAACTATAACTAAATATACAGGGTACCTCAGCACTGTGCATAAACTTTTCTAGTAAAATATAACTAACCTTTCGGAGAACCTGCTGCTCCATGTTCAAAACCGTTGGTTTTTTTTCTGTCAGACATCGTTGCTTTGTAATTTTCTTAAATTGTCTGAGATGTTCATTTTCCGGTGGTTTGCACGGAAAAAACGTAACATCGGCTTTTACGCCCCTCCGTTCTGGGGTTCACACTTCGTGCTAGACTTTCGCGCCCACGCGAAATCCCAACACCACCCCCATCCTGCGCAGAACGTTATTGCCAATTTCGTGGCCCGTGTCTCGGATATCTCGCATCTCTGCGACGATTTGAAAAATTTATTGACAAATTGTTATAAGTTAGAGGTATTGAAATGAAATTTTCACTAAAAATAATAAAAAAAATAGTATTTTTAGCTACCAATAGCACTGTCGGAGACAATTTCTGAATTTCTATAGTCACTATGAAATTCTTGTAGAGTTTCATTCCTTGATCAAAAATCAGAAAATCTCTCTCAGTTTTCGAATAAAAATGAGCTTTTGTAAAAACTCAGAATTTTCGACGAAAATGAGGTTATATTACTCTGCAAAAGACACCCAAACTGAGTAATGCGTGTCAATGCATTTCTAATTCTTGAGCATGTTTGAGAGGACCCAAATTAACAACATCACAGTGATTCACTGATTTGTAAGAGGGAGACGATTTTGAAGTAATATTTGAGAAAACAAATTCTAAGCACCTAAGTATGATGCCAGGAGACATAATACTCCCATGTAAAGTAAATGATTTCCCTGAACTAAAAAGACATCAAATTCTTTTTTGTGTCTTCTGAAGTATATGGTTTACGTCCATACGCCAAGATACATCTCTTCCAAATAAACATGATACTTCATCTTGTAGATTTAGATCATAAGATCGATTAATGGGATCTAATGTATCCGTGTTGTGTTCGGACACGGAATTATTTAAATTAAAATATCATTTGCGAACTTTGTTAATCTTCACTGTACACCTTGCATAAAAATTTCATACGGTACACGTGAGGTGTCATGCACACCAGAAAATTAAACGAACGATTCGCAAAGCTAAGTTAATAAATAATAATCGCGTTAAAGGGCGTAAGGGATATGTTTGTTAGAGAAATATGAAGAATATTATCAATGAGAAACTCACCCATTTAGTTGAAAATCCACTTCATGCACGGAAATGTGTGCAGGAGGATAGTGCATTGACTTCGTACAATGTATGATGAATTGAACAGCTGATCTATATCCGACGGCGACGAACAGAAGGATGTCTCCGGGCAGGCAATTTCAACGTTTACTTTCACTGCATTATCACTAAACACTGATCACTTATCAATAATATTTATGGATGAACTTTCCTGGGTTAATATGTATGGCTCTGAAAAGAGCCGATTTTTTAATGTGACGCGTTCGAAGAGGTACACGAACAACAAAGACTCAGCGACTGATCATCGGCGTATAGTATAAGCATACGGGGAACCACGCACGAATGAAGATACATACTTTTACATTCTTCAATATACCTTCATAAATCAGGGGTTGAATATCAGTTAATATACTGTTATATAATAATATCGGTTTCGATTCGTGAAAGAATTATGGAGAACTGAAAAAGTCTCACTAAAAAGATTCGATTCTTTAGAACAGATATTATATAGGTTCCATAACTGTTAATTTCCAGTTCGGTGTGATATTCAGATAGGATAAGTGTGTCAATTATTGTGCTCATTAAAGTGACGACCAAAGATTTCATCAAAATTACACGGTTTTTTAATGGCATACCTCTTAAAACATTCAAAATATGTGTTGATGTTTTTTAGATAAATCAGAATTTTATCGTAATTGAAATATATAAAGAACATAAAATAATTAACAAAATATAAAAATCATATTTCGATCGAATTACAGCGCCCTTAAATAATGGAAAGTTAATTACGGTGTGTTAGTTACTGAGTCTATCTTAGTTATCATCTGTCAATTTCTGTACACGTATCTAGTTACTGTGTGTCGATTTCTTTGCACTGATCTCATTACTGCAATCACTAGGAAAATTGTATAGGCTTTAAGTACCATAATTTATTATACATGTTTCAGTATAATCGTGTGTAGCGTGTTCACATTTCACGGACCAAGAAAATAACGTTAGATTTAGTACGTAGTTTGCCATAAGAGAGCTCAGTAATCTACGCAGGCATCGAAAAAGGCATAAAAAATGTATGCCAATTATAGTAGACAGTAATAGAAACAAGATGTAAATTTGTTTGAATTACTCAATTACTTTTAATAAAAATATATCTATCGACAATGGATTATTTTTTTTTGTAATTTAGACTTTATGAATATAATAACTTATTTTTTCGTTTTTGAAAGTGATTCGAAAGTCTCTTAACAAGATCAGGGAAAAGGGAAATTCTGTGGCTAGAAGAAAAAACACTGCACGTCACATATTTTCACATTCACCAGACATCACGAGGTCATTAGAGATCCGCCTGAGAAGGCGTTTCTCGATTCTGGGGAACGGAAGCCATCATCCATTATCACGTTGTCTCACAACGTGAGACTTGTTCTACGTTATAGAAACAAGACAACGACAGATAAATGAATTTCTGATAAAGTAACATTTGATGGACAGACCTCCTTGTCGCAGTGGTGTTTACATGAGGACATGACATATGTGCAAACAGAAATACAATCTCTCATATTAGAGTTTCTCATTATTTTAGGCAAATAAAGAAATTCGAAAATGAAACTTTTATCGCGAAAAGTTACATCAAGTTACATCTTATAGTAAAAGCATTAAAATTAAATATCTTTCCTCATACTAAATGTGTGTGTGTATACTAGGTAAAAACACAATAACGTTTTAAAAACTACACTAAATGGCTGTTATTTATGTCTGTTATTCTAAATAATAGCAAAATTTAAATAGAAAGCATTTTAGACATTGACTAGAATGTCATTGTCTTATTTTGATTTTGAATCTCTAATTGTAATGTAATAATTTCAAATTTCAATAACATGCATTCTTATAGCATTTATATTTATTATTTAGATTTCTTACGTAAATAACGTAACTGTTACATATGTATGTATGTAATATTGTATGTCTATTTTATTTATTTATTTTTGCGTCTCAAAACACGTAAACAAGAAAAAATGTAAAAACTATACTGTGTCAGAGTGCAGCTGGTTTCTAGATAAGAAATATATACAAAGTCTCCTTGTACAAAATAACTTTGACGTACCATGACATAAATTCTCACGTTGTATGAATAACGTATAATTAGTAAGTTGATAATGTTCTTCTTGTACAAGTAGGCTGTCATTACGTTAAAAGCCTTTTCGGAGCAACTAACATTGTTGGTATTTCTACCTTTTGAAATTATATCTTTCAAATGTAAAGTGAACTTTTCTAATGAATTTGTGCAAAAAATACACATTTATGATTATGAAATTTTTAGACTAATTAAAAGAAAAACAGTTCATTCTCTATTTAATATGTAACTTCTTGAAATATGTAATAAGCCATGGATAGCATTTTCGCTAAGGAAAAAGTTACTTCAAATGACCTCAGGAATCACCCCTTTCCGGGTGTTAACATAATTATGGGACATCCTGTATATTGTATTTTATTCTTAGTTAATGCATAAAATAATAGGACCATCATTTCAGCATATTATATTGTTTTCACGTGTTTAGGATAAACACTAATACGATATTTTGCTTTTATTAGTGCAACATTAAATGATAACTCAGGAATTAAAGCAGGTGTTTCACCACAGACAGGGTACCTATAAGAATAGATTTAGCAATCTTAACGTCCAATGCATTTTTCTTACGTAAAGCTATTTACGAAAATAGGGCGCTCGCTTCAGGATATTTCGCGAAGAAATCTTCGATTTCTTTCAATTTCATCTTCGTGGCGAATGTCTTGGTGATACTCGGGATCAAAGCGCCAAAGTACCTGACACTTAAGGAGTATCTGTTTACAAAGAGTTCACAGTTAGATCGAACCCAGTTCCAGACAAGTGGAGTTCCGACTAGGTTGTTCGAAATAGCGGATAGACAACCGAAGAAGTCCTGGGAGCGAACATAATTTTTATCGCTGACTGTCGCGATGAACTCATTCAATATCCAATCGGAGTACATTCCAGGCGGTCCTTGCATCAGCTTTAGTTTCCCCGCGGAGTCGGTCTCAGCAAGAAATCGTTGGAACATGGTATTCCGTGACGCTTCACTGCCAATACGGTGCATTGCGTAATAATAAACTAGCGTACGGATATCAGGATGAGGACGAACATCCTTTGGATCTTGTATCAAACTTTTAAATATGTTGCTACCTTCTTCAAGACACTCTTCGTGCCCCATGGAGCAAGCTATTATAGTTCAAGGATTTACGACCGAAGTCTCAAAGTAACATGGTCCTCGATGTTTTCAACAGTCCAGGCTACTTCGTGTAAACACTATCGAGCAGGTTCCTTACATACATCTTGAACTTCGTTGTTGGCCTCGCGCCGACCGATCTCGCATCTCATTGGCCACTGTTTTTCGTTAATAATTTGTAAACAAAGCAGTGGATTGCACTTTCACAAAGGATAAAGTTACTTCGAATGACCTCAGGAACCCACTATTTCCAGATTACGAAACATTTTTGGCACACCTCATGTATATGTACGTTCATTTGGTATTTTTTATGTTCCACTATTATTCCTTTATTTTCCTTTATTTATCAAACAATTTTAAAAAAAAATTATAAATAAAAATTATAAATAATTTGACATAAAAAATTGTGTAACATTACATCATCTTTACTACAGTTCGTAACAAAAATTAATAAGAAATATTTATATGTTTAGTCAAACTGATCCTACTACCGTGAGCTGTATTGCATCGCTCACCATCCGTAAAAAATAAATAATAAACGAAATAAAATATAATAAACACTAGTTTCGTAAATAATCGAAATTTATAAAAATAATCGTTATTTTTGAGAGCTATTCGAAGAAATTACAAGGACGTATTAGAAAGTGCATTGCATGAAATGCCACTATGTAAAATGTCACAGTTGATGTGAATTGTCAATGTCTGAGAAGACTAAAACGAAAGTTCGAATTTAAAACGAAAATATAACATATAAGTTTAAAGCAAAATTAAAGTAGTTCAAAAAGGAAAACGATTTTCCTTTATCTATTCTCAAAGCACTAGCATTCGTTGCAGGAAAGTATATATTCTTTAATTGGTTAGAGTAACTTATTTGTTTATTGAAATACATAAGTCTCTCCGGATCACGAACGTGAATAATCTCTGAGATAATTAATATGACTTCATTGCTAAAATGTTAGGATAATAAATTCTGCTTACCCAAGTTTTCAAACCACAAATGCGCAATTCGCGACAGATCATGCTGACAATATCATACTGGTCTTATTGTCGTACAACAATTTACTTTTTCTGAAAGTGACGAGTCCCCAGTTTTCCATTGCGCCGGATACAAAGTTAGGAATAACTGCCAAATCTACGAAAAGAAGACAGAAACTTAAAAACGAAAAATCGGCGGATCCGTATCATTTAATCGACACACGGTGGGTATTTGTCGACCTAGCTGGCCAAAGTTTTGAAGAATTCATCGTGATAAGAAATGAATTTTTACCTCAGTAAGGTAGGCACCTGAGGTACAATAAGCTGCATTTGCTTTGCCTTTCGCACAGTTAAAACTTGATCGTAACGAGAAGCAGACGCGCATTCAGTTAGTGTTTTGTGCGATTGCAAACTCTTCAGGTGATTACTCTTTCTCAACGAAAATTTTTATAAATCACAAATTACGGATCATTGTGAGGGCGATAAATGTGTGTACATTTGAAATATAATAATTTTTTTGTCATTCGCGTAGACGATGTTATTACAGTATCTTCTCCCACATTGCCCTTAGCTTAGGATTGAAGATGGACAACTTTGGAATAGGAGATATGAGCCGTTCACTACGCAAATTGATTAACTCCATAAAACAAAAAGTGGAGAAATGCAATGAAATAATGTATATTGTTTTTTAAAATTCCCTTTATAATTTAAATCAAGATAAGTATTGTAGAATGCATAAATACAAATGTAACTTTCATCTAACGGTATATAAAATTAATAAGAAAAAATATCCAAAAGGTAATCGTTAGTAATGTTACCGTTTTTATGTTACTGGAAGAGGTAATCGATTTGGCAAGTGAAAAAAGTAATAAATTTAAATTTAGTGTTTAAATTTTTAAGTTTTTTAACGCAGAAGAAGAAAATTATAAGATATTTTTATTACAGATTTTTCATAAAAATGATTATTAATAATTCTGTTATAATATATTATTATTTGTGATGAATTTTCTTCGGCATAATGTCTTCATCAGTTGTATGTGAGAACTCGTCACTTCAATTTGTTCTCACACACACACAAGTTTTTATAGTAATCACTCACCCGATAAGTGTCCCTAAAATATTTTTTGCAAATAGGGATATCACGTCTTTTTTTTCGAAAATAATATGTAAAAGATTGTGATCTTGGTTCTTTAGAGTTGCTCGAGGGGCACCTTCTTTTTATTTCTTTAACTTTAATATAACCTCTTAAGAAAATATTTTGATCAAGTTGACTATGTAAAATATAAAATGCCTTCATGGCAGTCTCTCTCTTATCTGGAAGAATTTTTTGATTGCACTTCTGACGGCATTTGCTTATTATATCGACAAATTTTTGTGCAGGTATTAAATTTTCTTCTTTATTCCTGTATGCCAAACCTTTTGTTCTTTTGAGCTTTTGTATATTTAGGGCCCAGTTATCAGGATTACAACTTCTTTTCCTCTCAATCAATGTGTTTGTTGCAATATTTTTACTGTTGCAATCAAAAGAATCCGAAAATAACCATAAACGTTTTCTTGAGCCAGACTTTTTGTTGATGAATCGTATTGAAAAACCATCAGATGATTCACTATTTTGCACATCCACATTATTATCAGTTTCACTCATTTCGATTATAAGGATATAATTTTATTTTTTTAAAACCACTGACAAATTGAAACAATTGTTTATAATAATTTAAATCAAAATACGATCTGGAAGTGATGTTGAAAAGGCTGAAAAAATATGTAGTCCTGTAAGACTGGTAAAGTACACAGTAGAAGTAAAAATGTACCAAATTAAACTTTATTCTTAATAATAATTAATTTCACTTCACTAATTTATTTTACTTAAATTCTGATAAGACGGCACTAAAAAATTCACCATTATCATTCATGACTTGCTAATGCATTTGTGTTGCATTATTGCAACATTAGAGTGCTTTGACACTTAAATTTAAGGTTTTTCAAAAAGTGTGATCAATCGATTTGTGCAGCGTACGGCTCATATAACTGTAGGAGCCGAAGGTTAGTGATTCGAGTTGCAAAAGAAAAATAGCAACGTATATTCTCCCGTAATGTAAATCACCCGTATAACGGACAAAATACGTCCGATAAAATAAGGTCGAACATCGAGAAAAAACACGACACTGTTTAGATACGAGGTCTTCGAAACTCAGCGCCGATAGCGCAACTCGTCACCCTTGTTCGAATCGCTTTTACGACGTAACAACGGCAATGTACAGTAATTCTCCCTAATTGACGCTCAGATCCTGCAGAAAAATGTACAATTTGGGAAGAGGGGATACAATTATTCGAGTCTTGCGGCTCCTTTTTATGGTTGTTAACAATCGATAATTACAAAACCGGACCACAAGGCTCGAATAATCGTATCTCCTCTTCCTAAATTGTCCATTTTTGTGTACAACCGAGCGTAAATTAGGAAGAATTTACTGTATTTATAAAGCAATGAAACTATTACCAAAGTAAAAGTGAATTTGCCTCGTGGTTGGTTCTATTCAACAAAATTCCATGAAAACATGAGAAAAAAGCCTATAGAAAACAGATAGAAAGTCAAGTAAGGAGTCGCACGTGGCCATCCGCAGTCCGCCGACGCGACGCTCGCCCGAGCGCCCAGGGAAACCCATTTACCAGAGCAAAAATGCTAATCGTTCATTGGTGTGCACTTTGGCCACCAAATCAGTATAAAAGGCGACTCAAAAAAAAAGAAGTACAGACTTGACTATCAACGGTCATTGAGATTGATCTTCTTGCTCACACCAAAAACTATCAGCAATATGTTAAAAAAAAATAAGTACTAAAATGTTAAAATTAAAACAAGCTATGTCATTGTATTATGAGTTGACTTCCGGGAATTCGAGTTAAAGGAGAGCCGCTACTTCGTCAAACCATAGCATCGACGTAGCGAGAAAATCGATAAATTGCTGGACCGCAACGGTATCTATGTCATATATCTGCAACATACTGAAGTCACACCGGGAAGAGAGACACTACTTACTGTACTCTCTAAGACTGCCTCTGCAAATGAGAATCATCATTTGATATAATAGCATCAATTACAGCACGACCATGTTCATCGATAAAATGTGTACATTCTTTAGAAACAGATTTTGAAAAATTGTTGCATGTTGTGTGCGTAACATATTTATTTTTGTTTTCTGTTCTACTGCCAACAATTCTTTTACAAACATAGCGTACAACCAATTCGCATACGTTGTGTTCAATCCTCTTTTTCTAATTAATACTCCCCTTTTCCTCTATAACAATCTTCTTTTCATTACCACCCCACTCATTATTTTCAAATGAGATTGTATCCGGTATTTCGTTAGGTATTTGTAGGGCATAGAAGTAACTTTGTACATCCCTGAAAATGTTTTCTAGAATTTCTGTCCTTGAAATAATTATTAATACGTAAAAATTTATATACTAACCTCGGCTGGGTCGATTCCTTGAACTAATAAACCAACAATAACTTCTCCATATGAATCTATACATTGTGAACATTCGTCGCTAATAATTTCAGGTAAACTTTTAAATACATTTTGTAACGCTTCTTTCACCTCGGCCTACATAATAAATAATAATTATTTACATTCACATAAAATTATATCATCAAACTTATTCAACTCTTATATGTTCTTCAAATGAAAATTGATCCATTCATTGTTTTAAATGCTGTAAAATGTTTCATTTCTCTCTCATTGTATGGTAGTATGATGTATCTCTTTGAGTTATAAAATTACAGATAAAATATATTTGACCAAATTAAAAGTATATATAAAAAAGGAATGGCTCATATATCTCGCAATGATTTCATGCACTTACATTTTTTATGGACATATAAGGGTTAATATCTAATTAAGTTTAGTAATTCTTACCTCTGTAATATTATCTGGTGAAGTTTCCTGAATAGAACGTAATGTGTATTCGCAAGAAGCACAATAAAGCGTACTATTAACTTCTAGCGGAACCTCTGACAAAGGAAACATCTGGTCAATATTCAATGGAATTCCTCCAATTGTTACTTCGCTTAATGGATTAGATTTCACTTCTCTTATTATACTGGCTGCACACACTGAAAAAGTATAAAATACAATAATTCATATGTTCATACTCTGTCATATATTTTACATGTTTTTATTTTATGTAAAAATAGTTTGATATCAATGTTAGTGTTAATACATGAGTTTATACAGTAGAACCTCCTATATTTAAATTGATTTGACAAAGATGTCTAAAAAGAAATTCTTGGACATCACAATGATTACATTTCTAACATTAAAGTTGATTCATTTAAATAAACACCATCAAGATGGCTTTTATATCCTTTTAATGACTAAACTCTTACTACAGTAAATTTTCCCCAATTGCCACTCCGTTTCTAAACAAAAATGGAGAACTTGGGAAAAGGAGATACGATTATTCAAGCCTCGCGACTCGTTTTTATCGTTGTCGATTATCAACAATTATAAAAATGAGGCGCGAGGCTCGAATAATGGCATCTCCTCCACCCAAGTTGTCCACGTGTCTTTTCAAGCTGAGCGACGATCGGAGAATTTACTGTGCTTAGTGATAGGAGACATGAATTGATGATTTACATTATTGCAAATGATGTACACATAAAATATAACCTTGTAAAATGTTATATTTAATTATTTTGTAATAGTTATTTAACTGTGCGATAACAAGTTTACCTATTATTTGTATTTACTTTCATCTTTCAGAAACTTTTCATTTTTCTTGTCATTTAATGAATAATTATTTTATTCGCCAAATTTATAATAGCAAAATAACTCAGATAAATGGTTACAAGAATTGTTAAGTTTTACATTATTTATCCTTAGTAAATTCCAATATTGTTTAATCAATTTGAAAGAAATATTATTTTAAAAACTATTATTTCTGTAATATTAAAGGTACATAAAAATTTCAAATATATATTGTAGTTACACTGTGACAAAAAGCCGTCTAAAGATAGAGAGCTATGTCGGTTAACAAACTCGATACATATTTACTTGGACAACCATACATCCGAAATTTCGCGAAGAAGTGGCATTATCGCGACAAGTGCCGAATCGACATCGGCATACTGCACACACATGCAAACACACACGGCAGCTAGAAACCGCTATTCCTAACCGATATAGTTGAAATAATTTTTCAAACTTATATAGCAAATAACTCTAATAATCTGTAGAATAAATCTTTTTTACAAAAAATATTGATTCTAACTACGTATTTACTGAAGATAAAGTAGGGACCTACTATTGTTGATTCGTCGAAACTCACGCACATATAACTTAACAAAAAATGCGGGAATATTCAGAGCTTTCGCACAGAATGCATGTTCATGCTGACCGCATTTTTTCTTTTTAGTAATAGACATAAACAGTTAAACAAATAGTTATATGAGATAGAAACCATTGGTGAATGACAAAATGTGGGAGAGTTTCTCGGGCATGTGATGCAATAATTTAATTCCTGAGTTATAATAACGTATTATTAACTATGTAACAGGAAAGAATATTATGATATTAATAAGTTATTAAACAGAGTAAAATCTTACATTTGAAAGAAATAATCACACACAATGTTATGGTTTCAAGGTACAATAATACTAACATACTGCGCGTGATTGATAAGGTTTTAGTAAATGAGACGCATAGGACGTTACTCAGATGTACAAAAATAAAACAACACGTCAGCAATAAATTACAGAAAATTGTATAAATAACTACGTCGTAGACAAAGAGAAATGAATTCGAATGTTGAATACTCACCAGCCAGAAACGCGCAAAGCGTGATTAATGTCTTCATTTTCGTTGCTTAGGTCCTGACGCGGTCTCAGAAACGTCCCTTTGTTTCTAAGTTATTCACAATAAACTGTCAGTTGCTAGTAGAAGCAACTGGTAAGATAATATTTGAAAAGGTATCGACAAATTGTTAAACAGCACCTGAACAAAATACTACCCTCAAACGATTGTTTCAGACTATTCTTAGCGCCAGCACTTATATACATTTTCCGACTGGTGTAGTCTAACTCTCGTTCTCTTTCTATTTTCCACGATGGCCAATAAGAGTTGAGACGGTTATCAAATGACAGACAACCGTTCTCGCATGTATGTACAATGTATGATGTATGTTTGGATGTATGCATGATGTACGTATGATGTATATTGTACGTATGTGCATATTTATGTATATGTTACCGTGAATGACCGAAATTGGAGAATGTCGACTTTCACCGGTGAATGTCAACATTCACATAGTCGCTTGGTGTATGTCCTGTCTCTTATACACATCTAGATGTGTATAAGAGACAGATGTTACCGTGAATGACCGAAATTGGAGAATGTCGACTTTCACCGGTGAATGTCAACATTCACATAGTCGCTTGGTGTATGTCCTGTCTCTTATACACATCTAGATGTGTATAAGAGACAGATGTTACCGTGAATGACCGAAATTGGAGAATGTCGACTTTCACCGGTGAATGTCAACATTCACATAGTCGCTTGGTGTATGTCCTGTCTCTTATACACATCTAGATGTGTATAAGAGACAGATGTTACCGTGAATGACCGAAATTGGAGAATGTCGACTTTCACCGGTGAATGTCAACATTCACATAGTCGCTTGGTGTATGTCCTGTCTCTTATACACATCTAGATGTGTATAAGAGACAGATGTTACCGTGAATGACCGAAATTGGAGAATGTCGACTTTCACCGGTGAATGTCAACATTCACATAGTCGCTTGGTGTATGTCCTGTCTCTTATACACATCTAGATGTGTATAAGAGACAGATGTTACCGTGAATGACCGAAATTGGAGAATGTCGACTTTCACCGGTGAATGTCAACATTCACATAGTCGCTTGGTGTATGTCCTGTCTCTTATACACATCTAGATGTGTATAAGAGACAGATGTTACCGTGAATGACCGAAATTGGAGAATGTCGACTTTCACCGGTGAATGTCAACATTCACATAGTCGCTTGGTGTATGTCCTGTCTCTTATACACATCTAGATGTGTATAAGAGACAGATGTTACCGTGAATGACCGAAATTGGAGAATGTCGACTTTCACCGGTGAATGTCAACATTCACATAGTCGCTTGGTGTATGTCCTGTCTCTTATACACATCTAGATGTGTATAAGAGACAGATGTTACCGTGAATGACCGAAATTGGAGAATGTCGACTTTCACCGGTGAATGTCAACATTCACATAGTCGCTTGGTGTATGTCCTGTCTCTTATACACATCTAGATGTGTATAAGAGACAGGTTTTGGACCTCCACCAGAGCATATCTGTGATGGTCGACACACACCGGAGAGGGTCCGAATGTACAACAATGTAATGAAATATTCGATCTTTCACCGACGTATTTGGTATCTGTTGACATTCACCGGTGAAAGTCGACATTCTCCAGATTTCGGTGTTTCACTGTAACATATATATGTATGTATGTACATACAAATTGATAAACGCATGTCGCGTTCTACAAATGTAATGCACCTTGAACTTTTCCCTTTGGTAGAACTGCGATTATGTGACTTCCCCTTTTGTTATTGTAAATGCAGAAATATGAAAGTAGAAATTTTCGCTGTTGTAATTGATTTTATGTACATACATCGGTGAAGTAGTCGGGAGAGTCATCTGTCGACATTTAGATTTCGATTAGCTAAATACACCTTGTCTCGTCGTTTTTAGAGAAAATTATTCCTGCAGTACGGGAAAATGTATTATCGATGCATAATTAGACGTTATAGAAACAAGACAACGACAGATAAATGAATTTCTGGTAAAGTAACATTTAATGGACAGACCTCCTTGTCGCAGAAGTGTTTACAATCTCTCATATTAGAATTTCTTATTATTTTAGGCAAATAAAGAAATTTGGTAATGTAACTTTTATCATAAAAAGTTACATCAAGTTACATCTTACAGTAAAAGCGTTAAAATTAAATATCTTTCCTCATACTAAATGTATACTGGTTAAAAACGCAATAACGTTTTTAAAACTACACTAAATGGCTGTTATTTATGTCTATTATTCTAAATAATAGCAAAATTTAAAAGAGAGCATTTTAGACATTGACTAGAATGTCATTGTCTTATTTTGATTTCGAATCTCTAATTGTAATGTAATAATTCCAAATTTCAATAACATACATTTTTACAGCATTTATATTTAATATTTAGACTTCTTACGTAAATAACTGAATGACTGTTACATATGTATATTGCATACGTCTATTTTATTTATTTTATTCTCATCTTAAAACCTGAAAAGAAGAAAAATCTATACTGTGTCAGAATGGAGCTGGTTTATAGATAAGAAATATGTACAAAGTCTTCTTGCATAAAATAACCTCGAAGTACCATGGCATAAATTCTCATGTTATATGAATAACATATAATTAGTAAGTTGATAATATCCTTTTGCTACAAGTAGGCTGTCATTACGTTAAAAGCCTTTCCGGAGAATTATTTTTCAAAGTATTAATTACTAACATTGTTGGTATCACTACCTTTTGAAATTAAATCTTTCAAATATAAAGTGAACTTTTCTAATGAATTTGTACGAAAAATACACATTTATGATTATTAAATTTTTAGACTAATTAAAAGGAGAACAGTTCATTTTCTATTTAATGTGTAACTTTTTGACATATGTAATAAGCAAATTAAAAACTAAAATACTTTGATTTAAAGTAAATATTTGTAGTTTTCAATAATGAGAATGGAACAACTTGGCGGTGGTAACGGGTTTACGATCGTAATTAGGAAAACTTATAGATTGGAAAAATTTTGCTGGGGTTTACCTTAATTTATGTGAATAATGCACGGCTGAAATGAGCCTTCCTTCTCTCCATCTTTTTCATAACTATAGAATCTTTATAAGGTACATATATGTATAATAAAAAAGAATTTTACAAAATGTACAAACATGTTCGTCATACGTTTCTTAAAAGCTCCTATGCTTGTAGATTTCATTTGAATCACATTAAAAATATAAGCGACGAATTATTAAGTCAATTAAGAAGACTTTTATTACAAAGAATA